TGTTGATCAATTAATAAATTAAATTTTCCAGAAAAGGGAGAAAGAAAAGTGAGTATGTAAAGAGTTATTGACCACTCTAAAAAGTTTAATCATCCTCCCTTTGCAAAAAGAGGAAAAGTGTTAGATGCAGGCAAACCCATTTCAGTACATGAAAAAAGAGAAAGTGACCAACCAGTTCAGATACTATCTTTAGGCCCTTGCTGTCAAGCCTGTGGGATTAAATCTCTGAAGAACAGAAATTAAAGAGGAAGCCTGTTGTGTCCGTCAAAAACTAAAAAAAATAAATAAATAAACATTTTAAAAAATATCTCTCTCTCTCTCTCTCTCTCTCTAAAAAACAATAAATAAATTAAATGATTTCTCTATCAATGTATTAGCTAACACTACAACCATAAGACAAATTCTTCAAGAGGGTTTAACAAAAGAACTTTTACTTTTTCGTTAGAATTTCATTTTCAAGTTTATATAATAATTTTTAAAAGTGCTAATCATAAAATACCCAGAATAATATTCCCCTTTTGTTCTTAAAGTACTTTTAAGTGAATAGTTATATAATCATGTGTCAAAACTACTCCAAAATGGCCACTGTAATTTCAAGTTTTCCTTAATGCAGTTATGCATTTTAGAAAGATAAATGCAAGAAAGAAAAAACAGAAGCCAAAGTTATTCCAGGATGGTAACACAAGTTTATGATGAATCTATCAATATATTAGCTAACACTAAAACCATTGAATGTTAACTGTAAAAATTAACAGGCCAGGATTGGTTAAGAGGAGCTCTTTCCCAAAGCTGTCTCTCAAACATGGACAAAATTTTTAATTCTTGTAGACACAGTGTAGCCATTTTATATAGGATTGTTAGTATCAAGTCAATGCTTTAGCAGATCTCCACCAATGAAAATCAAAAATAGTACAAATCTAACCAAATAACCAAAAAGTCCTGAGACTCTTATTCTTACAACCAATAAAATAAATATCACCTAGCTTTCGAAGCTCAACAAAAAGAATTATAACTCAAGATAAGCTCTAGACTTACTCCTTCATCATAAACAAAGATCCCCCAAGCAGAGTCTCAGAGAATTCAGTGAAATGCAATGTAACCAATATGAGAATACCAATGGCAAGGGTTCTTGCTTAAGTCTTAGTAAGACCTTCATAACTATCCTAGTCCTAATACAAAGACCACCATAAACCTGATGATCAAAGCAAGCTGAATATATTAAAGTTTCTGAGCAAGAGAGGATATCACCTTATCAGTGTAAGAGAAGAACCTACCCTTCTGAATTTTTAGCTGGGACCCCCATAACAGGAGGCAGATTAATAAGAGAAAAACAAATTTATTACCATGTATACCTCATGTATGTATACATGGCCAATACCCAAAGTAAAGTGAGTAATTCTCAAAGACATGGTTATAAGTCTGGCTTGTACTGCATCTTTAACATTGAACAATTATCTTAAACTTTTAGTGACAAGACAGCAGATATATGGGATACTAATGATAGATAAAAGCTAATAAAGTTTGTTCTGTAGATACCTCTAGTTCCATCTTCAGACCAATAAGTTTGTCCTTCCTTGTGGAGAGGGAAGGAGGGACACATTTGGAAATTTATGTCCTATTTTTTGTAAATAAGGGGAAAGCAGAGAGCTTTTCTTGTATCTGTTTCTTCTCAAATGCTGTCAGCTCAAATATCATCCTTAAACCAAATTGGTATATTTTGGAGTGGCATATTCCACTGCCCTTCAACAAATCTCAGTAGTGTCTCAAAATGAGGAAGTTACAGAAAGGTACTTAAACATTTTGAGAACTAGGGTTGATTATAGGCTGGTTTTAAGGCATAAGATAATAAGTAAGGTCCTTGCCAAGTTAGAATTTGTAAAGTAAGTGACTTGCTGGAACAATCAGTCTTATCTTTGGAGCACTTAAGTCAATGTGAAGTTACTCTTAATCAATTTGTTCTTGGTTCTATGTCAGAGGATATAGATCTGAACAAACTTATGTTTAAAAATTTTTAACTTAAGATAGTTTGAGTTATGTAGCAAAGTTTGGTACAAAACATCTGTTACGCAAGTAACAGTATGGTTTTGCAAGTTGATGTCTGATTTATTTCTCAAAAGGAAAGCATTTGTAAGTAAGGCAGCCAATTATAAGGCTTTCACAAAAATTCATACATAATATAATGAATGCTGTTACTGTGGAATTGGAGGAATGAAAAATGTAGGGATAAGGAGGAAATAGATTAGAATCTTAATAATCAAGGCCTTTGGGAAGAAAGTAGACTATAAAGAGAGGAAAGGGTTCAAAATTGAATATTTGAAAGCTGAGAAGATAATGGCACCAGTTACAATGCCAAAAAAAAGGAAATTGAAATTTAATATGTTGTAGATAGAAAATGGAGATGTTGAGGGGTTTTTGTTTTCTTTTCTTTTTCTTTCTCTTTTGTATTTTAACTATAATAAATGTTAGGTATCATTTCCAAAATGACTAGAAGTATAAGAGAAAATAAGTTTTAGTTATAGACAGGAAAGTTGTGAGGTTTTTCCTAGTATATTTAGCTTTAGAATCTTCTATTTAATTCTTTGTGTTTTCTTTAAAAATAACTCAAAATATACTGTAAATTCCACACCCTCATTTAACCAACTATTATTAGGTGAACTTTTCAGACACATAATTCATCCTCTAATGATCTTTAATTCTTCTGTTATTTCTGGAACTGCAGCAAAATGAGAAATGAATATGAATGCAAAGAAAATACCCCAATATCGAGAGAATCTTACTTAATTGGTAATAAGTACACTGCTGTGAGGGAAAGGAAAAAAATGTAACCATACAAGTTAAAGAGCTACAAGCCTTGACTTTTTAAAATTAGAGTGACTTCAATAATATGTTAACTAAGATCAGAAAATTAATCTATATTAGCATAGCAACTTTTCAAGCACTGCCTACCCATGACCAAGGATGAAAGTGGGTTGCAGTGTCACAAAGCATGTGATTAAGTTAAATCAGCATAGTATTTAAAGGGGAGAATTTCAGGTGATTCTACCTGAGATACTCATAGTTTTTCTTTAATCTATATAAGGGGACAGGTGACTACAAAGCTATTTTTGCAACATAAAGCCAGAAGTCTGACCTCATAGTATCACTGAGTCAGAATAAAGATGAAAGAGGCTTACAGTTACTGTTTAAGAGAACTGATATATGAAGCCCTAGGTATTGGCCGTATGACTATCTTAAGCTTCTGGGGTGTGTAGGCTTGCCTTTGACCTCCTAAATAAATATTTCAGATTTTCTCACTTCAAAGAAGTACTTTTTAGGCTGGAGATGCAGCTTAACAGTAGAGTACATGCTTAGGTAAGGCCCTGGGTTTAATTCTCCACATCACAAAAAGAAAAACAATACTTTTCTTAAACCTTGTGACATTTCTGAAATTAAAGTGTCTTTTTTAATTGGTTGTTTTCAGTTATATACAACACTAGGATACACCCTGATATTATCACAAAAGCATGGAACACAACCTGCTCCAATTCAGTCCCCAGCACTCCCTCATCTGCCACTGCTCCATCCCATTCCCCTTCCTCCACTCCATTGATTGATCTCTCTTCAATCTATTTACATTTTTAAAATACATACTTTAAAAAAAATACTGTCCTTTGGATACACCTGATTCTGGGACCCACCATGCCACATCCACTCTTGCACATATGAAAATTTGGTCAAATTCATTCCACTGTTCTTCCCTTTTCCTGTCCCTTTTTCGTCCTCCTCAATCCCCTCTACTGATCTTTCCTCTATTTTGATAAAATTCCCTCTCCCCTTTCTCTCCCTTTCTCTCCCCCTTTTTTACCCTACCACTCTTTATTTTGATGTACTTTCTGCATATCAGAGAAAACATTCAACCTTTCTGAAGTCAAAGTGTATTTTACACCTAATGTTAAAGTTATATTTTGTGTGTGTCTCTGTGTTAAGGACTCCCTTTCTTAAGTATTTTATAATCTAACAGTCTATGTTCACATTGTTAACTAATTCCATGTGTATGAGCATCTAAGAATAACAGTATAAGAACAACTAGGAAGAAAATAGGAACCCTTTCAACATCATATATCATAAAGAAGGAAAAAGAAACACATTTATTGTATATTTATCTGCCAAAAAATGAGTACTCATTATCTCAGTGCTAAGAAGTACCATGAAGGTAGTTGTTATAATTATTTTACAAATGAGAAAATTAAGAAAAAGAGTTTGGGTCTGAATCCAAAGCTCCTCCTATTATATGCTCTATCTTATTGGAACTTCATACCATAGAATAGTATTTTCTGATTTTCCCCAAGACATACTAATAATAGATATTAAATATCTAAAGATCGACTAAATTCAGAGTAACAGAATTATGAATGTGAGCTAAGTATTACTTAAGTTTGTCTCAGAGACGATACATCTGCCTCCTTTAGAAAGGTCTAATTTCTTTATTACTGTTGATCCCACTTCAGAAAAAAGAAAAAATTTTTGAAAAAAAAATGATCATTCTCTTCAAACTTTAGAATATAATGTCACACATTCTCTACTTCAGATGTTCTCATTGAGAGACATGTTGGAAAATAATTTTGGGAGGACAAAAGGTCATTGTTTTTTGTTTTTGTTTTTGTTTTTGGACCAATTACTAGGAAGGCCCAGTATCTCCAGAACATTATTGTCAAATTATAGCCAAAGATGGTGTGATATTTGATCTGCTGTTCAACACAGTGGAAATCTCTGTTGTTGCAGTTGTTGTTGTTGTTGTTGTTTTAAATTCTTTAACTACATTTTCTCATTCTCCTTTACTTGAATATTTTTCCAAAGATCCTTTGAGCATATGATGCCAGATACTGTTTTAGGTGTTAGGAGTGCCGAACTCTGCTTAGTACATCTGGGGCTCTTGTTTTGTTTGGTTCTGTTTATTTTTCCATTAGAAATAGGCAACATTATTCTAAGAAAATAATTAGTGGTGTTTTTTTGGCTTTTAGCTGCTAAATCCTGAAGATGACCTCTTACCAGGAAAGATTCGAGACAGCAATCGTTCAACCCTCTTGGCAACAATTCAGGAACATGGTTACCCCACAATCAACTTGGGAATTGTTGGAGACAAGTAAGTATTGATTGTATTTTATTTTGAAAAATTGTTATTGTTACTACAAATTTAACTTTAAAACACTAACTAGTTGGAATTGCTGCCAAAGAGAAAAATCTAATACCATAATTTTTCACTGATCACATTCTTCAGAGGCTAAAGAATTATAGAGGTGTTTATGTACTTTGAGAATAGACATTTTCTTGGAATGTTATTATAATATTTTACTTTGCTATGGATGTATTAGGTGTACAGAGATTTTTTTTTATAGTGTTTGCTTTATGCCTGGACCTGCCAACTGATGCAAGGCAGCTATAAAGTTTCATCTTACTGGTTCTTGCCATCACTCCAGAAAGTTACTCAGTGTAGCAGGAATGAGTTTTTTAGAAAGAATAGGAAAAGTAAAAAGGGGATACTCCCAAGAGAGTAGATTCTTTCAGAGAAAAGAGGGATTGCATGCTCTTTCTTCTCTCCAATTTTATTGGGAATCCCAAGTAAATTTCCAGAGTCTCACCCAGATCCATTCTCTGACTTTTGACTGACAATGGGATTGCATCAGAGTTTCAAGCCCCCACTGTCCATGGCAAAGATCCAAGACAACTCTGGGTCACATTAGCCCATGCACACAGGTTCTAACTGGAACCTATTCTGACAAATTTTTATAGTTAAGGGGAATTATCCTTTTGTCCCTGAGTTCTGGAATCTAGTCTGTATAGAGTCACAAAAGTCCCCCTCTTCAGGATAACTTATCAGCATTTCAGAGCTGCATTTCTCCTGCAGACAAATGTGTGGTAGCCCATAACTGTGATCTCAGCAATTTAGCAAGGCCGTAGCATCGTATTAAGACCCTGTCTCAAAAATAAAAAAGGGCTGGAGATGTAGCTTAGCGGTAAAGCATCACTGGGTTCAATCTCCATTACCATAAATAAGCAAGCAAGTGTGAAGGAGTCAGCACAGAAGGCCCAGTTTATAGAATTATTCCTTTAATTTCATGTTCCCACTACTCGTGACTGTCTATTACCTATCAGAACTACTAATGATAGTGTTATTCCTATTCACACTTCCACTGGTTTCAAGAAATACACGAAAAACACAGGTGAGAAGAGTAAGAGAGATGGTCAGATTTTTCATTATTAATTTTTTTAAATTTAAGTATAATAGCTTTCTAGGATTTTTATATTGAGTTTTGAATCCTTGAGTAACACAAGTTTCTCCCAACTCCACCTACTGAAAATACAAACGGAAGCAGAGTGACTATGATTGCCCATATTTAAGAGTATATTATGACGGATAATAGAGGCGGGTGCCAAAGCATGGTATGGGAGTAACCAGGAAGTGAGAGCTGAGACTGGAGGAGGATGGATCAAGCCCAGGCGACTGTGGGAAGGCTTGGGGAAACACCTGAATATGTGGAATCTCAGTGCCAGGCACCCAGGACCAAATCCACATCCCCTCAACTTGAAGTACCCTGGAGGTTCCAATCCTGGGTATCCACCATATCCACCACCTGTCAATCCAGCTTTTCCTCCTGGTCCCTGTCCCCCAGGACTTCCCCAGGGGATGCCAGGTTTTCCTCCAGGTGTGTCCCCTTATCCTGTTCCACAACCAGGATATCAGGACATCAACCCTCAGGTCACTACCCTCCTCCATACCTACCACCTGCCCCCGGTATGCCTCCTGTGAACCCCATGGCTCCTAGCATCGTAGGCCCAGGAATGATAATGGACAAGAAGATGCAGAAGAAAATGAAGAAAGCTCATAAAAAGATGCACAAACACCACAAGCATGGCAAGTATTCCTCCTCTTCCAGCAGTGACTCTGACTGAATACAGGGCCTGGACCCTCCCCTCAAGTCTCACCAGTTCTGCTGTCCCATCAAGCTCCAGCTGCCATGTTATACTGGGGGAATTTAGCCCTTGTGCCCCTCCATCCTGTCCCTACCTGAGCCTTACCCTGCTGTTCAGTCCTGACTGGCTAGGGAAAATGGGAAGAGAATTGCAATGGGCTAGCAAAGGCAGCCTTCTCACTGCTTAATAGATTTTATAGCTGAAAAGTTTAGCAGGGAAGCTGCTTTTTTGAAGATGGTGAGACCTCTGAGCTAAATGCTGAAGACAAGTATAAGTTCTGTAAAATATGATCTTTTAAAATTTCATTTTAAAAGGTGGGTTTGTGGAAATTTCACTATGATGAAAAACCTGTACATTTTTGTAATGATGGCACACTGGGGTGATTTAGTGGCAAATATATTTCCCAGCAGTCCTTTTATTGATTGTATTAACAGCAAGGCTGCTGGGAAGTAGAGTCCACTTGGCTGATGATCTCTGACTGCCCTTTTGTAAGCTAATCTCTACTCCTTAACTCAATATGCTATTGCAGGTCCTACTCTCATTCTTCAACTCTGGGTCCAAATAAAACTATTTCTCCTGGAAAAAAAAAAAAGAGTATATTATGTCGCGACCCCTTGCCCGCAAGGAGGACGCAACTCAGGAATCTTCTTTCAGCAGTTTATTCAGGTCCTTGATACTTTTTCTTCTTTCAGCTGTTTATTCAGGCCTTTGTATTGACATGTCTTTTAGCTTCTACTGCTACTCCTACTACTACTTCTACTGCTACTCCTACTGCCACTACTACTACTGCTACTACTACTGCCACTACTACTACTCCCGTGTGCCCCAGCCTTAATAAAGCAGATAAAGCCCCAATGCACAACTGCCACGTGGACTTTTCTCATAGGGTGCCAAGTCACAGCGTGCCAACTCATTCTGATAAGGAGTTGTTTGTCACAGACTACAGGGGAAACCAGCGCCATCTTGTAATGGCGGCCACAGTTCACAGAAACGGCTCACCACAATATTATCCCCACCTACCAAATTAATTCAGCCCTCTTGTAAATTTCCCAAATATTTCTATGACTCTTTAATGGTGTCTCACGTGATCAAAAGCAAGTCTGCTTTCTGAGCATCCCACTACTAACACAACACTTATAATAATAAGTGTTATTATTAAATCTTTGCCATTTGTTATTTACCTGGATTTTTAGTTCTGAAGAAGTCCACCAGCCAACTCAGAACCCATACTGATGTAGCCAGTGTACAAGTTACGCAGTATCAGGGTTGGTAGTCCTAGGAAGATAGTAGAAAAGACCTACTGCAAGGAAAGGGAATTAGTCTGTTCTTTTACATAAATTTCAAGCACCTAGAACTTATCCTGATGCAGACATAGCTTTAAAGAACACAAAAATCAACTTCTGAAAAGAGACAATATGAATCTAAGAGTTTTAAAAGCACAGAAAGAAATAAGGCAAGCAGGCCCCAAACTGTAGAAAACAAACTCACTAGATTTAGTACAGTTGTTTTCCAACCAATGATGGTGCTAGCCCTGCCTCCAGTGCATTAATAAGCTCTAAGAAATATTCTAAGATAAAAGAAGCTTTCTTTTTCTTCTTAGCCTTAAACTGCTCTGGACTATAATTCTGTCCATTCTTAATTCTATTGTTAGACTTTTGGGGTTTTTTTAAAGTTACTATATTATATTGACATTTTTCTATAAAGACCAAACACCATTGAAAGGTTCTTATTTTGGTATGATAATATTTAATTTTGTAGAATCCAAACTGTTGATTTGTTATGAACATTTCCTAATAATTAATGTTGCTGTTACGTTTAACTCCAAGATGTACCTTCAGTATAGCCGTAAACAACAAACTATAAGCAGGTATAGACAATTCAAGAAATGTGCCAGTCTCTACTGTTTACCCTTTTATTTGATAGCAGTGCCTTATATCAAACTGAGAACAATTTTTTGGTTGTTTTTTTTTAAACAACATGCAAATTTAGGTTTGTCACTCTTAGAGGTCCAAGGTGAATGGTTTAGAATGCAGAGGTAGAATGTGGGAGAAAAGAATTTATAACCATTTTAATGGAAATTTGCGCTAGGACTTTAGCAAAGAAAACAAGTACATTTCTCCTACAGCCTTTTGATATTCTGTGTAGGCTGGCTCCCACTTCATTCTTTCTCATAGCCTTTTGCTAATGAATGCAAATGTTATATATAAGCTTCTGCAAGAAACTCTGCAGAAATACAAGCAGGGTCATAGGAGAAACTCTGCTCTGTGTTTAAAGCAAGGGAGAGAAATTACTCAAGAATGTCAGCAAGCACAGAACCCTGTCTAAGCTATCACACATATGGGTAGAGAGTGACAGTTCTCTTCTTGTCATATAAAAAGGATAGAATCTGGTTTTTAAATTCTATATGATTCAGTCTCTCAGTTCTTGGTCTTATCTAAACCTACCATAATTTTGACAATGTAAAGTAAAAGAGTAAGCCATTACATATTTAGATTAAGTTGGCCTAAAATTTGTCTTCATTTATTGGACCTTTTATCTAAGAAGAGGATAGTTTATTAGTACAGTAAAATTATAGAAGTGGTACTTCAGATACCTGAGAGTTAACAACTGTATTTGAAAAGCATTCATTTACAAATATTATGTGTATATTAAAATACATTCCCCAAATTATATTTTCATACACTATATGGAACATAATACTGTTGGGATTCCTAGTTCTTTTCTTTAAAAAGGCAAATTTTGGAATTCAGAGATGTTAAATAACTTACTCAACATTATACAGCTAGTTAGTGGCAGAAGTAGAAATGGAATCTAAATTTCTTGAGACTAAGAGTCCACAATTCTCTGGTATCATCATGAAGCCAAGATGTTATATGTCAGAAGAGTAGTAGCACTATGGGCTGGAGTGGTCAGAGGTTTTTATGAAGGTGCAATTTTAGCTATGATTAGAAGAATGAGTGAGATTTAGGTGGGAAAAGATAAGGTGTTAATCCAAACAGGGAACACTGAATGATCAAAAATAGAGAAATAGAACCAAATAAATATAGAGAAGAAGAAAAAAGTATCTACTCAGATCAGTTCAAATGATTAGAACAGGAAGTTCTAGTAGAAGGATAATGCAGGTAAATATAGTAAAAATTTGAGGCCATATTTTGAAAGGCTTTGCAATCC